TCACCTGTGTGCCCAGATAGGGTTCACTCCCTTATCAAAGTGTGACGGGTTGTAATCCATGTATCCATTGTGACCATCAACTTTGCTTGGGCTACAAAGTACTTACACTGGTGTTTTGGCATTGGCGAGTGAGATGGTCGTCAAATCGCACAGACTCTGAGATCTGAGAAGCCCAGCAGCCATCAAGAGCAAGTCGATAAGTCATAAATTTTTTAAAAAGAAGAAACCCAAGATGGTGACCTCAGTCTAACGACAAAGGAATGTTGTCTGGGGCATGTCCCTCCCGATAGTCCAGCACCCTTCCCAATGCACTACTCAGCCCAACCTCAAGCTGGTCCTTTCTCCTCAGCATCGCAAACTCACAGTCAGGCGCATAGAAGGTGAGTTCCTCAATAAACATGCTTAGTGCAGGTTGAAGTCGATTGAAGCAATCCCCAAAGTGGTCGATAAAGCCGTCCCTCGCTATACTCTGTAGATATCTCACCAACATTGTAATGAGCTTTGATTGGTCCATGCCGAACTGGAGAGGAATGTTAGTACAAGTCGATCAAGAGTCGCTGAAAACTATCTATCATGTCTCCCAGCGAGCACTGCAGATATGTTGCGTACCGAGTCGAAAATGGAGCAAATACCCTTTTGATTCTCATACGAGAAAGGGGTTTGGGGTCGATCACCGACCTTGTCGAACGCCTGCTGGACCCCCTCAATCATATCTCGACATCGGAGGTATGTATTCTTCCAGAAGGTCAGTAAAAGTCAAGTGAATAAGGCAAAACGTGTAATACCCCGATGATTTCGACTTCTACACCACCTCCTCCGATATTACTAGCAGTAAAATACATGTCAGATGCTAAACTGTTGACCTCCCGAATGACTGCGTGTATATCCTCGGGAGTTGTCAGAGCCGCGAAAACGGGAGGCGCAACTGGATCAGGTATTGGTGTGGCGACAGGTGAAGTGACTAGAGGAGTCGTTGACGAAGCTACTGGCGAAGCATATGTTGTGGCTATGGTGGTAATGCCACTGAGAATGAGGAGGGCGTTGCGCATCATGCAAGGAGAACTGAGCAATGGTTCGTACAGGAATTTGAGTTAATGATGACACGGGTGAATATGAAATCGTATTCGCTCGAGAAAGAATCGGTTACTATCTGAAGATGCGATATCGTAGAAGCGATCTGATATAAGGTACGGCTAATACGGAGAGATTGGTTTTGGACTGCTGAGCCGGTCGCAAGCAGACTACTTGACAGATTAAATATCCCAAATCACGGAGGTCTACCCCTTTATTAGGTGTGACTGGCATCAGCTCACACGTGGAAGTTTCAATAATTGAGCTTTACATGTATTATTCTGAGGACATTTAATATGAAGTGGCGGAAATATATGGTCCTTAGTGGTTGCATATCGATTTGGGCAGGCTGTGTGCGACAATCACCCGAGACCTTGTGCCGTTCCGTAGTCCTCGCCAAGATGGATGCGACGGATATCACGGTTCATGGCATGGCTTTCGGACGGCAGATTTGCTTGTGTAATATCTTGGCATCAAACACATCGAGGATATCGCCGAGAGGAGAGGCTGAACATCAGGGAGGTGCTGATTGTACGAAAGCGAATATAAAGGGCAGCAGAGACATCAAGAGATTCTCAGAATATATGAAAGTGCCGAGGCAACTTCTCATGTTCTCTTGGCAATCATCCGAATATGAAAACGAGTTGCCTTGGGCTGGCAGGGTAGATGCTGGAACAAACAACTTAGTTATCGAGGGCCCGAGTTGAAAACATTGACCTTTCGGAAAAGCCAAGACTTTCAGCTCATGTCTTGGGCCAGAAGATGCTGTTTTGCTTGGTAAATGGACAAGTGATTGAGATGAACGTGTTGAGCAACAGATGTGTCACCAAGACAACTACCTGTTGTATCACTTAGCAACCAATGATGAGCAAGTGATGTGTATGAACAGAGAATACTCCGAAAAATGCTTTTAGAAAGCCCAAGCAACTGGACCTATCTTTCGTGTGAACATGACAAAGAATTTCATTACGTGACCCCTCGCCCTGACCAGTTTTTCTACCGAGATACAAGCAAATCACTCCCATGCAAATGCAGTGAAGACGTCTATGCGAGGATCTCCTCACTCTCCTCAATAACCTCCTCCACAATCTCCTCAATCACCCGATCCGCCTCTGATGTTAAGCCCTCGAGAGACTTTGTGTAGGCCTCTAGCAGAGGAGCATGGGGATCCTTTGGTAGGCCAAGAGCTTCGCGCTCTTCCAGAATCTCGCCCTCGACGGACTCGCGCCAGTTGTACCACTCCTCGAGCATGTGTCGACGAGCCTCGACCACAGCCAAGTCAGCGGACGCACCACGGTCAGCATCTTCTTGCTCAAAGACGCGGCTGTATTCTCGAAGGTTCTTGCGCACAGCCTTCTGTTCCTCCTTGGTGAGCAGAGTCGCGGGCCGAGGGCGCCATGAGAACTGCTTGAACTTCTCAATGGGCTCTTCTCGTAGAGCCTCACCCTTGAAATCGTAAATGTGGTAGCCGTTTTCCATCTAGATCAGGTTAGTATGAATATTATTATCATTAATTTGACAGATGGAACATACCGAGTGCTTCCAAGCAGAAGCCCACGAGGCGACGAATCGGCCTGAAGGGTCCCACTCAACATCTGTGACACCGTAGTGGTCGGCGGTGTTCATAGCCTGGAGGTTGGCGGTAAGGTCCTTGTCGGACTCGGGCTTCTCGCCCTCGAAATCAAGGTCGAAGAAGTCAAGATCGGAACTCTGTTGGTTGGCAATGGTGGCAATGACAACAAAGCGACCGCGGGGTGACCAGTAGATGGCGTTGCTGTTCTTCTTGTCAAGCGTTCGAAGGTGCTTGAAGTTACCCACTTGTTGGCCCTTCTTGGCCTTCTCAGGGCAGAAGAAGGAAACTGCAGTCTTGGGAGGGACAGCAGTAACGCCCACGGGCTCGGTTGTGGAGATAATGGCAAACCTGTCACCCTTGGGCTCCCAGGCAAAGTTGATAACGGTATCCTTAATAGTGTCAACGACCTCAACAGGGACACCCTTCTCCTTGACACGGAAAATCTCGAGTGTGGTTGCTTGAGACTTCTTCGACTTGGAGTGTCTATCGACCTTGACACAAATGTAGGCAGCCTCGGATTGCCAGTGAAGCTTAGCGTCGCTAACGCTGAAGAGGTTCAGGGATCGAACGACCTGTTTTGAGGGAACACTCATCAAGCCGACCTTGGCGGGGTTGCTGCCGATTTCAGGAGTCCAGTAGCAGAAGAGCTGCTCGTAGTCCTTGACACCATCGCGCTTGGGGGTAGCAGGAGCCCAGTCAAAGTCCACAACACCCTCGATCTTGATGGAAGTCTTGTCGAGAAGGTTCATGCGGGGGAGTTCGTATACGGAGATGGACTGGCCGGGGTTCAGACGGGCAACGTACTTGTCGTCAGCAGACCACTTGAAGGCAGGCCACTGCATCTTAGGCGGAGGCTTGCCATCCTCCACCTTGGGGGGTTCAAGGTTGGCGAAAGATCGCAGAGGTTTAGCGGTAGCGATGTCCCAGATCACGTAGTTCTTGCCATGGTCGTCGATCGAAAGGGCGGGGTGGCCCTCATCGGGGATGGAGATAGGGCGGTTAGACCAGGTGACGATGTACTTCTCGCCAGGAGAGAAAGCGACCAGGTTCACGAAGGGGTGAGCGAATCGGGCCTGTCGTGTCCATGAAGGACCGCCCCAAAGCTGGACACCCTGGGCATGGACAGAGGTGAGGTATGTGCCGAGAGGAGACCACTGGACAAATGTCTCAGTCCAGTGCTGTCGCTCAACGATGTTCTCAGGCTGATCCTTCTCGTTGTTCCAGTAGACGCCGACGCTCTCGCCCTTGTACATAACGAACTGGTCTCGGCCACGGCCTGAGGGATCCTTGAGGAACCATCGCAGATGCTCCTTCTCGGTGAACTCGTCGATGTGAGGGGGTTGGTAGGTCTCGTCGATACGGCCTTCTCGTCCATATCGCTCGATGTCGGTGAACTTGTTGACGCGGAGAATGTGCTTCTTGTCGAGGGGGGTGAGGTCGAGCTCGCGAGTGGCGGCAGCAGCCTCAGCGGGCGAACCGTATTCGACAAAGGCGAATCTTTAAAAAACGGGATCAGCTCCAAGTTCGATGCATCTTTGGTTCCAAGCATGGCACCTACCGAAAAGACTTTCCATCGTCACCCATGGGCATATGTATCAAGTCCTCGCGTGTCTTGCCGACTGTGTTGAGCTTCTTCAACAAGAACTTGACAAGCTTGGGCTTCTGCTCCTCTGTGACTTGAGGCAGGCCATCGATAACCACGAAGCTGTCATAGCCTTGCTCCAGCGAAACCTCGAATCGTTCTCGCAGATCGGAGATATCAATATCATCGTCGTTGAACTCGTCATCGTCAAGGTCGGCCTCGCGGAGGTGGTCGAAAGAGGGCGCCATGATGGGCGATATTTGGTTGTTGGAGGGGTGCAAGAAAAAATGCCCCGCTCTCAGTCGTTTCTGTACGGTTTTTTTCGAGGGTTTGGGAGGGTTCGGCTACCGAGCACAGGTTTGCGAAAAAGGCCTTTTTGCGCGCGGGAGATATGACCTCTGGAAGACACGCAAAGGCTTGTCTAGAACGGCGCAGAATGTCGCTCGGGAACGTGCGGAGTCTTGATGTTGCGGTGGCCAACCTAGTTCAGCACAAATTTGGTGTTCTGCTTCACTTTCCAACGAAAGTGTGCGTGATGCGGAGAAATGATAATACTGGCCCGAAGCTCGAGGCTCTCACCGCGGGGCAAATCACGTGTGGGCTTTGTTGGCCCCTGGGAGTGGAGGGGCTGCGGTTGCTAAGCTGGATGGGAGCTCCAGAAAAAAAGGCTGCAACGTCTACCCCAAGGCTGAAGCATATTGACGTTGACGACGACGATAACCTTTTACGTTTTCATAGGTTTCGCCGTGTACAAAGTCGCATTGTTAGCCCATCATGGTATGTTTCCTCTTTTGATGAAGAATGCTTGTTGAAACACTTCATCTTCTCATGTCGAGTATACCGTATGCTAACATGCCCCTCCTAGTCTTTCCAACCAACCCAAATTTTTGAGGAGGGCACTACTGAGGAAAAGGGTGAGAATGCTCGTCTCTCTGCCTTTGTCGGTGCCATCGCCGTCGGTGACCTCGTAAAGAGCACCCTTGGTCCTAAGGGTATGGACAAGATTCTCCAGTCAGCGTACGTTGCGCCCATCTTGCGGTCTCGACAACCCCCCTTTTAACATGATGCTAGCTCCACCGCCGAAATCATGGTTACCAACGACGGTGCCACAATCCTCAAGTCGATCGCCCTCGATAACGCCGCCGCAAAGGTTCTGGTCAACATTTCGAAGGTCCAAGATGACGAAGTCGGTGACGGTACCACCTCCGTTGCTGTTCTCGCTGCCGAGCTATTGAGAGAGGCGGAGAAGCTGGTCGACAAGAAGATCCACCCCCAGACTATCATTGAGGGCTACCGGATAGCCAGCCAGGCTGCGCTGAAGGCGTTGGAAGGATCGGCCGTTGATCACAGCAAGAACCCTGAGGCCTTCCGACAAGATCTGCTCGCCATTGCCCGAACAACACTCAGCTCCAAGGTCCTGGCCCAGGACCGCAAACAGTTCGCCGAATTGGCTGTTGATGCCGTCCTCCGACTCAAGACATCCGACCTCAACCACATCCGAATCATCAAGAAGGCCGGAGGCAAACTCAGTGACTCCTACCTCGACGAAGGTTTCATTCTCGATAAGAAGATTGGTGTCAACCAGCCCAAGCGACTAGAGAAGGCCAAGATTCTGGTGGCCAACACCTCCATGGACACCGACAAGGTCAAGATCTTTGGTGCCCGTGTCAAGGTTGGCTCAACAAGCAAGCTTGCTGAGCTTGAGAAGGCCGAGAAGGAGAAGATGAAGGCCAAGGTTGAGAAGATCAAGGCACATGGCATCAACTGCTTCATCAACCGACAGCTAATTTACAACTGGCCTGAGCAGCTGTTCACTGATGCCGGCATCATGTCAATTGAGCATGCTGACTTCGACGGTATTGAGCGTCTTGCCCTGGTCACAGGCGGTGAGATTGCCTCGACCTTTGACCACCCCGATCAAGTCAAGCTTGGCCACTGCGACGTTATCGAGGAGGTTATTATTGGAGAAGATACTCTCATCAAGTTTTCTGGTGTGGCTGGTGGTGAAGCTTGCACAATTGTCCTTCGAGGTGCCACAGAACAGCTCCTTGATGAGGCCGAGCGAAGTCTGCACGATGCCCTTGCTGTTCTGTCACAGACTGTCAAGGAACCCCGAACCACCCTTGGCGGTGGTTGTGCCGAGATGCTTATGGCCAAGGCGGTTGAGGGCGCTGCTACCCGGGTTGAGGGTAAGCGACAACTGGCTGTCTCCAGCTTTGCCATCGCTCTTCGACAACTTCCCACTATCCTTGCCGACAATGCTGGTCTCGACTCTGGTGACCTTGTTGCCAGATTACGCAAGGCTCTCTACGATGGTCTTACCACTTACGGCCTGGACCTGATGACCCCTGGTGGTGGTATTACTGATATGCGAGATCTCGGCGTTATCGAGAGTTACAAGTTGAAGAAGGCTGTGGTGTCTTCGGCCAGCGAAGCCGCAGAGGTAAGCACTTATCCAAAGACTTTTGCGAAAAGGTTTCTAACATTATCGACCAGCTCCTTCTTCGAGTGGACGATATCATCCGGGCAGCTCCTCGTCGACGAGAGCGCATGTAAGGCTGGCTTAGGTAGCTGGTGAGGACGAGTCAATGTGCATAGACCATGATGATCTGTAATGATACCATAGATGCTGGAAAAATGGAAAAAAGGACCATCGTGAATGAGCCTTGCCTTATGACGAACAATTACTTTACCATAAACATGTGCTTTGAATGAGCAGTGTCGTGCCAGTGCCAGCAGCACGCGACTCCTTGTTTGACACTGCCTTGGCCGTTGACACTGACAAACACTGGCGCGCCTTATTTGTCGCTCGCCTCTATTGTTGTGTTTATTGAATGGCAATTCCCTTTGCATTCTTATGATAATTCTTCTCGTCACTCTTTATGCTCAAGTTATCACATTCACTCTTTGCGCTCGCATCATCACGCTCTTGCAAAAGACTTCAACTCTAGCATCATCATCACCTCAAAGGTCGTAAAGCTACGCTGCTTTAATATTTTCTTCTGAAAGTCTTTTATATATCAGGAATCACAATACTTCACTCGCACAATCACCATAGCTTATTGCTCTGGCAGATTGTTTCTCGTGGCAGGATTCTTTGCTCTTGGAGTGATATCGCCAAACAATAGAGCAGTCCAAGATCGTCGACTTCTTTTCATCTTCACCATCCTCTCAACAACCCAAAGAGCGCCTCAAAAAACGCAACAAGCTATCGCCAGCAAAAGCCGCGAAAGCCGGTAGCCAGTCGGGTTCCCCCAACTCAAGCCGAGCAGAGTCACAACAAACCATGCCCAAGCCAAGCCAGAAGCCCAAGAGGCAGAGATCGCAGGCATCAACCTTGGTGCCCCGTGCGGCATCTTTACAGCCCTCTATTCCCTCTACAATCTCCAAAAACATGTCATCTCCCCAAATCACTAAGAAGCGACGCCTGGAGGGACGCAATGAACGTGTTCCCGAAACTCCTCCTAAAAAACGAGCCGCGACGAGTAGTCAAAGCCAGCAAACTCCACAACGAACAAGTCAACTAATTCAAGCAAACTCGCCGAATACACCATTTGATATTTCATCTGGAGAGAGCTCTGATTCAGACTGTGTGATCGAAAAAGTCCAGCCGTCCCCAAAGCGCAAACTTGTCGCACCCAGCCCACGAGCTCGACCTACCAAGAAGCAAAAGACTGATCAGCAAGAGGCTATCAACCGAGGCTATGCCTGCATCAAAGCCTCTGTTCTCACAAAAGGCACAGCATTGGCAAGGCAGAACAAGAAACCAGCAGCTAGACAGCGACAGGCTGCTTCTGTACCTCCCCAAGCACCCTTGCCCAACCTCACCTCGAGCGCTGCAGGCCCAAGTCGAAGTACTTCTGTCCCGCCAGCTCACATCCTTCCTAAATCCAGTCAGAATGAGAATGCAGCCCAAGTTGAGCATGAGTCGGATCACAACAGTGAAACGGCTCAGGTTGCACCGCAAAAGCGCAATCAACTCGAACAACGGAAAGCCAACGTCAAGCGACGACGAGTTGGCGACTCAATCGATACCCCTGTATCGATCGATGCAGACGACGAAGATCAATCCGCCTCAGACTGCGAGGTCGTCAAGGTTGCGGTGTCCCCAAGGCGAAAGGCTGCGAAACATCGCGCCACAGCCGACAAAAACATCAAGACCGAGAACTCTGCTAAGCAACAAAAGGTTGCAGCTCAGCGCAAGACCCAGTCTCCCTCTGTTGCAAAGCGGCCTACACCTGCCAAGTCAGCTGTTGCACGCGACACCACACCATGCAAAACTTTGCACATCGATCTTACTCAGGAGCCCTCCGATAGTTCTGATTTCTCAGACGAAGAGACTCCGATTCTGGCCAAGCCAACCCTGCCAACACCAGTCGAGCATAGTCTCGACGTCCAGAATCCCCAAGCCACTGCTACTGAGCATATCAGCAGCAGCAACACTGACAACCCTCTTGCTGCCCCCCAGGAGACCGTCCCTGTCCATGAACAGAGGTCCCCCTCGCCGGGCATCACGGGTCCTTTGTTGGATTGGCTTGATCGCCAGTCGACGAAGAAAGCACATTCGATCTCCAGCAGCAATTGCCCGTCTCCCGACCACGAAGTACCGTTTTCTACTGCGCCTGAATATCAGCACGATGATACCGCAGCGAAGAAAATCAAGATGGAAGCTCACGATGGTGACATGAAATCCATCAAGAAAGAGAGCATTGAACAATACAACTCCGACGATGACGAAGGCAGCAGTAATGAGGAATCCCACGATGGAGACATGCACCATATCAAGCAAGAGAACAGCTCAATGTATGGTCATTCCTCAGACGACGAAGAAGACTTCGATGAAGAGGACATCAAGAACATCAAAAGGGAAAGTCACTCAAGTCCCATGAACATTTCTGCTCTGAAGCAATACGAGTCGCATCCCGAAGAAGACAATGAAGAGGAATACGAAGACGGTGAGGAGGACTTCCAAGGCTTTCCTGACCTTAGTTATGATGAGGTGTCTCATGACGCCAATACCCACGAGGCGGAAGAGAATGGAAATGTTGGATCATCGCCACCTGTATCATATCAGCTACCACAAGAAGATGTCTCTCCGAAAGCTGTCTCAACAACACTTGAGAAGGAGGCCACATTTGATCCGGCCGATAAGGTTTTGAGAAACGGGCTCGGCAGTTCGAAGAATAATCTCTCCACTCCGATCAAAAATGAGAAGGGTCTTTCACCATCGATCTATGAGCTTCAGCCAGTTTATAGTGGTGAGAAGCTCATGCAGACCCACACTCCAGGTACACCATCGCCGTTCCGACCTCACCATCGGGATTCGCTCCTCGGCTTGAAGAGTATCCTTAGGGGCTCGGGTGGACGAGGTCGTACGAGTGACAACGAGAGTGTGTACTCTCCATTCCCGGATATTTCTCCCCTTTCTGGAGACGAATATGCCGCTTCATCACCTACAGAACGAATACAGCAGAGCAAAGAGCAAGCCAAGGCTGTCCGGCCTTCTGAGCGCAGAGTCTCATAGAATGGGACTGCCGCCAAGGTCAGCTCTTTCAAGAAGAAGCTTTACTCAACACCTCCTCACCGGGCTATTGTGCCCAAGGCGATGACATTGCCGAGACTCCTGCCCAAGAACGGGACACCGACACTTCCAAAGGAAGCTCGATGGCTTAAGCAAAGTAGGTTACATGTCTTGTGTCAAGATGTATATACTTACAACAATACCAGAAAAAGATTTCATGCTTTTACCATCTATCCCCGATGACACTGCCGCGAGCGACGCAGCCTCAAGACAAGAAACACCTACGAAGATTGTCGCAAAGCGACCTCCCCGCGTTAACGACACGACAGACATAGCAGAGTCTGAAGATGAAATTGAGAAGAAGCTCCAGGAGCAACAGTTGGAGCCAGGAACCAACAAGCACTGGATCAAGCCTTCTGAGAAGGAAATCAAGCCCCCGATTATCCGTGATGGCGTTTCAGAACACGCCATCAAGCCCACAGTTGCTTTGTTCAAGAAGAAAATCGCCGCTAGGCAAGGCTTCAATCACGATACAAGCAATAAGTCCAATCAAAAGTACAACTGGGAAATCGACTGGAGCACGCCGGCGTCCCTGACTGAGCGCGAATCACAAGCCGTAGCAGCGGAACTAGAACATAGGGGAATCAAGACCAGCAGGCAATACAGCAACTTTTGGTACAACCTTACGATGAAGTTTTCAAGACTTGCAGGCTCGCCGATTCCGCTTTTTACAGCAAAGAAAAAGGCTCTCGATACGTTTGTTGACGAGGCCATGCAGAACCAGGAAATCAGACGGCGGAACAAAAACAAGGCCGCCCTAAAGAAAGCGAGGCGACGAGAGAGGAAGAAGACGCAGCTCAAAGGCGTGGATGCATTTCTTATTCCGGGGGATACAGACGCTGAGAGTGACTCCGAAGATTCCGATTCCGATCTCAACGGGGCCGATCTGATCGCCCAAATGCGGGCGGATACCGAGAAACGGCAGAGGACATATGGAGGCGGAACGAGTTGTGGACGTCGAAGCAAGTAAGGAAGCTCAATGCCATGTGTGAGATCGGGCATTTGGGGATTTGAATCGATGTATGGATAGAATGTAATAATGCGCACGTACGGATGAAGTCACATTTTTGGAGATGACGCAGGACAAGGGAGAGCAGGGGTAAGCACGCCTCAAGGCTCAACACAGTTGATCGACAAGGTCCCTTGATATGAGAGTTATTAGAGAAGTCTGGAGTCATCACCCACAAACCCCAGCAGAGGGGCTTCGAGGGGTTATTATAAATAAATCGCGAAATTGCTTGTTTTCTTTCAACGTCTGAGGTTGCATGTTGACATGGGAGCTGAAAGTCTTGGAGGTGAGAGATGTGATTGGCTGTGCTTGTTCATTAGCCGCACATATGCGGCCGAGATTAATTGACAGGGGCCCGCTTCCATTTAGCACTGTAGACACAACTCGATGAATATCGACATGGTTGATGGAGTAAGAAAAGAGGATACAGCTTGAATTGTTGAGTTTATGGGCTGAACAATGACCATCATTAATCTTTATTCTTCAATTAGAGACTCTGGTAGTGATCGCTGATCGTGGCAATACCTGTAGTTGCAAAGAAAGGAGCTTGAATATATCGCATGAACTTATAATAACACAGAAATTGATCGTGTATTCTGTAGCATTTCCTTCGAGTCCTCGATCAATTAGCAGTCTTACACAGTCTCCAAAAAAGGATTCACAGTGCAAGCCCCTGGAGGTGGCTTGATCCGATAAGGCCATGTCCACACCCATGACAACCCACACGTTGGAAAAATAAGGCAAAGGTCACGAGCGTGCTATTTTAGTATGAATGGGTACAAGCATTCCATCAAAAGTGTGGGTGGGATCATCTCCTTGACTGCGTTGGCGTTCTTGTTTGGGGATCGTCATCCACTTCCCGGTTTATCTTGACTTTGCTTGTGCTTGTTCTTGTTCTTGAACTTCCTTGCCTTGTAGTTGCTCGAGAGTCACTCGTTTTCCGTCATCTCCTTGTCATCTCTCTCC